TTCTGTGTTTGGTAGAGTTCTTTTATTCACATTCCAGTAGAGACGGCCTCTTTCGGCTCCCTGAGGACATGAGCGGCCGTGTCATGAGAAGTGTTTGGAGTCAGATAGTCTGGAAAATAGATGAGGAGTGGGTGGGCAGGGCTGAGCAGGGGTCAGTGGCTGCAGAATCCTCGGTCAGCCACAGAAATAAAGCAGTTGGAAAATGAGTGCCATGGTGCGTGGATTGTCTGCGAGAAGAAAACCTTGCTTCCCCTTGACGACGTCACCACCGGAGAGAGTGGTTAGAACCCAGCTGTGAGGGCTGGGTGCTGAGTAATTGCTTATCTGTGTAGCAGGAGACTAGGTGACTCCACGTGCTAATGAAAAGGCAGGAGAATCCTCAAGGGCAGAATTAACAACTGGGGACAACCTTAGTGACCATGTAGACCACCATCCTAACTTCACACATGAGGAAACTAAGGCCCTGGAGACCTGAACCGCCTCAGCTGTTAGGAGGTGAAACCCAGGACCATTTGTGCCAGAGCATTCCTTCATTGGGTGCTGCTTGCTGCCACCAACCTATCAGGTGACCTTGGACGAGTCACAGACCTCAGGACCTCTGGTTCCTTATCTGTCAGCCAAGGCCACGGGACCACATGATCTTGGAGCTGCCTTCCAGAAACAACATTCCAGGATGTTCTGTTCCCCTTCCAGCCTGAAACAGCATGGAGTGGCCTGGCCACCCAGCCAGCAGGCACTTTATCTCCCATGGAGCAGAAGTGGGTCAGATGGAGGACTCTGAAATTTCTGGGCTTGTAGGTTCATGGTTCCTTCCCTTTGACCTGGGTAAGAAGAGGAAGGGATGGCTTCCCTCCACCTCCATCTCCACCCCTAATCCCTCTGTGACCACCCCCCGCCCCAGCCCCACCCTCAAACTCTGGACCTCAGAGGCAGGAAAGTTGGCGAGAAGGTCTCTGGAGCTGAATGACCTGTGTTCCAGCCCAGTTCTGCTGCCTGCCCTCGGGGAGACATGGCCTCCCCTTGCCTGTCAACTTGCCCATCTGTAAAATGCTAACAGTAACTGCACTCACCTCACAGGGGTGTGCAGTAAGGGCTGCACAAGTGTCGAGTGCCGTCACGTCTGTCACACCTGTTCTATCCAAGCACACAGAACAGTCCGTCACCCTCATGACCCTAGCCAGGGCCTGAGTTGCTTGTTTTAGCTGAGGGAGTGTCTACAAGCGGATTAGCTGGCGTGAACCAGACCTGTGCAGCACGGAGCAACCTTTATCCTCCTTTGAGAGAGACTCCCCTGAACCTCCCCCAAAATTGTCATTTTCCCCAGTTGATGTGATTCCCGTGTAACCACAGTCAGAGCATGACTGGCTGAGATTTTCATTCACCTCAGACTCAGCTTCTGCTTCCCTTCCCCAGATTCCCCTGGGGCAGATCAGATGTCCTGTCAGATCGCATCACATCCCCATCATCACCCTTTTCACGGGCCCCTGAGACTCCAGGGGGACAAAGGAAGGGAGAGCTCTGAGCTGTGTCTCTGCCCCACTCTTGGAGCCAAAGTTGGTCCTCGTTCCTCCCGCTGTGATTCCCCGCCCCTTGCCTCAAGGTGCTGGTGTCCTGTGGGGATGACGGTGAATCTGGCCGAGTTGGGGCTCTACTCCACCACTTCCCCCCCACCTGGAAACCTGAATCATCCACTGTGGAGCCAGGAGGAACTCTGCCCCAACCCTGATTTTAATTAGGAACAGGTGCATCCTGCAAGACTCAGGGTTCCGTCCCTCTCAATCCAGACGAAATGTGTTTTGAGGAGCCCGGCCTGAAGGAACGTGAATGCCACAGGGCTACAGAAGGATGGTCCCTCCAACAGCCTTTTAGCAAATGGTCGCCGAAGACAAACAGGAAAATAGGGACCCACATGCTTCCGAGTGAAATATGATTGGAATTAACATGAGCACACATTCAAGTTCTCAAATGGTCAATGAACAAAATTTTTTCCATCTGCGAGGTGCTGTGTATACCCCAAAAGAGAGCAACCCCCAAAGAACACAGTCCCCCACTTTTCCAAAGAGGTGAATTTAGCAAAGTTTTTTGGCCAATTTAACAGGAATCAGAACTGTGATTGCCTTTGAGGTGGGGGATGGGAACTGACTGGAAAAGAGTCAGGGAATCTTTCTGGAGTAATGGATGTTCTGTCCCTTCCCTGGGATGGTGGTTATATGCGTGACTTCATTTGTCAAATTCATAAAACTATACCCTTAGAATCTGTGCATTTTTAGGGAGTGTAAATTTTACCTTAATTTTTAAAAAAAGTTGTAAATACCTACTTGTAATACTTAACCTAATCAGGTATTATACACTGAAAATTATCAAAGAATACTAGATTAATTTATACTGCTCTTTTGATTCACATTTCACTAAATGATTTCATGCAGATGTACATCTTCTGAGGTCAATGGATTGCATTATTAAAGCCACTGTTTAAGTTGACAGTATTCCAAAGCATATCATCTTCAATTCATCTAATTTATTTGAAATGCAGAACATTTTGAATTCGTGTTTGATGCTGAAATGGTATTGCTAGACACAAAGACTCATTTGCATAATGTTACCACAGTTATTTTTCTCGTTTGTCTTGGAAGTGATTATTCACATTTCTCACAATGTAAGCAACTAATGTTTTGCTTTCTAAAAATGAACTTTAAAATATTTATCACAACTTTAAAAAGTTGCACCCCTAAATAATCACCACATCTATGTTAAATCTCATTGCCTCCTTCCCATTAATTGCCTCTAGTGACCTCAAATGAGAAGGCAATGGCACCCCACTCCAGTACTCTTGCCTGGAAAATCCCATGGATGGAGGAGCCTGGTAGGCTGCAGTCCATGGGGTCGCTAAGAGTCAGACACAACTGAGCGACTTCACTTTCACTTTTCACTTTCATGCATTGGAGAAGGAAATGGCAACCCACTCCAGTGTTCTTGCCTGGAGAATCCCAGGGACGGGGGAGCCTGGTGGGCTGCCGTCTATGGGGTCGCACAGAGTCGGACACGACTGAAGCGACTTAGCAGCAGCAGCAGTGACCTCAAAAGCATCCAGAACCAACACTGATTAAGACCATTTCAGGCTGGTATATCTTCCCAGATTTCAACTGAGAGAGTATCAAATTACAAGATACTTTTAAAGAGCCCTAAGTCCCTTTAGTTCCCTGGAAGTCCCTGGTTAGGACTTGGAGCTTTCTCTGCCCTGGCCCCAGGTTCAATTCTTGGTTGGGAAGCTAATATCCCTGCAAGCTGCAGAGCAGGGCCAAAAACAAACAAGCAAAATGCAGTGTATTATAAAGAACAGTAAGTCCCAAAAGTATGAGCAACTTTTAAAGGCAGCACTATTCTCTGAGAGTTAACTTGAGGAAATAAACCTTCATCTTATTTATCTTCAGGCATGTATAGTAAAGGGCTTGCCCGGTAGCTCAGCTAGTAAAGAATCCGCCTACAATGCAGGAGACCCTGGTTCAATTCCTGGGCCAGCAAGATCCACTGGAGAAGGGATAGGCTACCCACTCCAGTATTCTTGGGCTTCCTTGGTAGCTCAACTGGTAAAGAATCTACCTGCAATGCAGGAGACCTGGGTTCGATCCCTGGGTTGGGAAGGTCCCCTGGAGAAGGGAAAGGCTACCAATGTATTATAAAGAACAGTAAGTCCCAAAAGTATGAGGAACTTTTAAAGGTAACACTGTTTTCTAAGAGTTAATTTGAGGAAATCAACCTTCATCTTATTTACCTTTAGGCATATATAGTAAATCCAGGCATACATGTTCAAAGATAAAATAGAGATTTATTTAGAACATTTGGAGATTTTATAGTTCTTTGTCCAAATATTAGTACTGTTAGCTGAAGTTAGAAGTTTCCATGTAAAAACTTTAAACCTTACCACAAATGAGAAGCTGAAGCATTCTTGAATCAATGTAAACACACTATATTTTACTCAAAGGCATTAAAGATAGGAAAGTGTAGTTTAAATAGATGATTCTGGCTAAAATCAATTGTAAACATAATCCTAAATTATGAATTACTATTAATTTTGTGACTTGACCTTAAGTCATGTCAAGGCTTCAACTACAAACAACTTGATATGATAATATATAAAGGAGGCTTCTTTTTTTTTTTTTCAGTATTTCCCCAGTTTAGGCACCAAAAATAGTGTTGTTCTTAAAGAAACCAACATGGAAGACTGTACTATTGTTTTGATTTGTTTTTAACATTGCCGTTGGTCAGCATTGTTTTTCCACTAGCCTTTCAAAAGCTGTCAGAAGCAAAATCAGGTAATTCAACAAGAGCTCCTTGGGCATATAAGCTCCTGTATGACTCAATGCAGTGGTTGCCCAATTTTTATTTTATTTTTTTGGTAGCAGAATCCTGGTTTTAAATGTCATTATAGGTGGTTGATGCTCTAGTTGGAATAGAGATGGGGGTCCATAGCAGTCCTGTTTGGTGCCCCTTCTCCTGTCTAGGAAATCCACTAAGGAGTTTCATAGCACCCTATGGGGCCCATGGAGCAGTTTGAAAACCTCTGGCCGTGGACCATGCCTGAAGGCTGGAACTCAGAAGATCTGGGTTCAACAAGTTCTGGTCTGTGTGATTGTCAGCAAATGACTTAACCTGAGTCTCATTTTCCATATCCAAACGAACATGAATGGTCATCTCAGAGTTGCTCTAAGGCTGTTTTTAAAGTTCCTCAAGTCTTACTGTTTCCTAGTCACATCTCACTCATGTGTTGTGTGCCATTGCATCTCAATTATTTCATGACTCAGCATCCACTATTATTTATTATTTGGCCTCGCTGATACTACTACGTCTGCCTTTCAGATTTTCTGCCATTACTGTCTCCTAGAGGATGGACCAGGGTAACGGTTGGCTTTGGGCTCTACCGTGACCACCTCTGAAGGGATTCCAGGCTCGCAGTCTTTTCTTGGGAGGGACCACTCATCCAGATTTCTTTTCATTTTCAGGTGGGCCAAGAGAAGGGAAACTGTTCTTTCCAGAAAAACCCAACCCCCTGCATCATCCCTCAAGAACAAGAAAATATCTTCCATACAATATTTGCATTTTTCACAAAGTCGGGAAGGAAAGTCTTGGTAAGAATTTGCTTACTCGTTGGGTTCACGTGGGTGGTCCTCACTAGGAAGGCAAGTCTGAGATGAGAAGCCAGTTTTCTATTTGGCATTTATTGTTTCTCAAATCTGGTTTGAATCAGTTGGCTTAGAAAGTCACAAGGACTATAGTCAACTCCTATTTTTTCAGCCTGAGGTTTCTATCAAAGTGTTAAATTTACATTTCAGATTCCATTGGCTGGCAAAGGGAAAACCTTTGCAACCCACCAAGTATGAAGTTATACATTTTTCCCAGTAGTATGAATCTAATCAAGAGTGATGGTTCTCATCCAGCCACTTTATATACCACTGTTGGTCAGTATATACTAAAGCTAAACATATCTATGACCTAGCAGTTCCACTCCCAGGTATGTCCCAAAGAGAAGTGAGTACCTGTATCCCACAAAGACGTGGACAAGAATGTTCACACTAATCGAGGAATGATCCAAACATCCATCACCAGGAGAAAATGTAAACAGTTGCAGTGTACCCATGTGCTGGATTATTACGAGCAATAAAAACTGCTACACCAACAACATGAATAAATCTCACAGATATAATATTGAGTGAAAGGAGCTAGAGATAAAAGGACGCAGATGGTGTTTCACTTACATGAGGTTCAGAAACAGCAACTTTGTCAATGGCAGTGGACGTCAGGACAGCAGTTAATTTTGGAGGAATATTGATAGGCAGGAGCATGAGGGAATCTGCTTAGGTGCAGGACATGTTCTTCATCTTTATCTGTTATGAATGTGAGTAAAAATATATCAAGATGGATCCTTAGGATTTATTCTGTTTACTGTATGTAAGCTATACCTCAGCTTTCTAAAAGTGAAGGTGTTAAACATGGAATCAGATGCTTTTCCAAAACCTCCTTTCTCCACATCTTTGGTTACATCTCTTCAGTTCCTTATTACAGCCATGGCACATCTCACTAACATTTCCCTCCTCTTTTTTTTGGTGGTAGAATTAGTAGGACTGGTTGCCATTTGGAAGTTTGGGATATTTTTACTTACATAATGCTAATGATCAACTGTTATTTAACAGCCCTTGGAACTGTTAGATGTATTGATATCTAGTAGTTTGACAAATGCAGCTCTGTATCTGCCTGAAATTTTTACCCCATGTGTGAAACATCATGAACGTATATTCACACATTTTGGATCCTATAACACAAAGGAATTACTCCTTTGTAACTTAAATTTGGAATTTAGGTTTCTAGCTGTAATTCATGTGTTTTCTTGGTTAAACATGTTTTTTTTTACTCCTGCGGTTTCTTGAGTCTTGTGACTTTGTAGCCCTCCAATCTGCCCAATCTGAAAAATGGGTGTAAAATTGCATTTGTCACTTCCAGGCAAAAACTTCATAATCTAGGAAATACACCCTGTGTTCAAAACTCATAAGAGGAATGTTCCCGAAATATTAAATGTGTCTCTTTAAAAACAAAACAAAGAAGTTGTAGTCCATATGTACAATGGAATATTACTTAGCCATAAAAAGGAGTGAATTTGAGTCAGTTGTGAGCAGGAGGAACCTAGAGCCTGTTACACAGAGTGAAGTAAGTCAGAAAGAGAAAAATAAATATCACATATTAATACATATATTTGAAATCTGATGGTACTGATGAACCTATTTGCAGGGCAGAAATAGAGATGCAGACATAGAGAACAGACTGTGGACTCAGCAGGGGAAGGAGACAGTGGGAGAGAGTTGCACTGACATATGTATGCATTACCGTGTGTAAAATAGATAGCTAGTGGGAATCTGCTGTATAGTGCAAGAAGCTCAGCTCTGTGTTCTGTGATGGCCTAAGGGGCGGGATGGGAGGGTGGGAGGGACACTCAAGAGGGAGGGTATCTATGTATACACATAATTGATACACATTGTTGTACAAAAACCATCATAACATCGTAAAGCATTGTCCTCCAATTAAAAATAAATTTAATAAATAAATAAAAACAAACAAAATCTCCTGCTCTCTCCTTGCAAAATCCAGTTTGGGGGTAAGGTGAACCAGTGAGATTTGACTGAAGGCGTGTTCGGGTGCCCACTGGGCAGGAAGTCCTTTGGTTGCCCTCTGGTGGCAAGAAGGAATGATTGCATATTCCTATGGATTTCATCTGCCTAGAAGGACTTCCCTGGTGGCTCAGAGGGTAAAGCATCTGCCTGCAATGCGGGAGACCAGGGTTCAGTCCCTGGGTCGGGAAGGTCTCCTGGAGAAGGAAATGGCAACCCACTCCAGTATCCTTGCCTGGAAAACCCCATGGATGGAGAAGCCTGGTAGGCCCCAGTTCATGGGATCGCAAAGAGTCAGACACGACTGAACGACTTCACTTTCAGAAAGGCCTCAGTTCTAGACATGTTGTGTTCTATAAATACTGGTTCTGTGTCTATAAATGCCTATTCTGTAAATGTTGTACTCTTGTCTTTGTTCTTAATACAGTTTGACCATTTTCTGGTTATTCTTCTCAGGACTGTGAAAAAACAGGAATTTCTTGCCTAACAATGCACTGTAACCTTAGTGCACTCGCTAAAGAAGAAAGTCGTACTATAGACATTTATATGCTGCTGAACACAGAAATACTGAAGAAGGTAAGTCCTGAAGAACTATCCTCTCAGAGTTCATTTAAAAACATTTGAATTGGTTTCCTCAGGAAAAAGCCTACCTGCCCCTTTTAAAACTGCCCTGGCCAGCACCATGGGTAATTCTGCTTCAGAAGAATGCCAAGGAAACATACCAGACCCTTGTTATTCAAAGTGTGGTGCGAGGACCAGCAGTGTCAGCATCACCTGGGAGCTTCTTAGACCTGCAGAGTCTTGGACTCCACTCAGGCCTTACCAAATCAGCATGTCTTTTTAAGCAAGAACCCCAGATGTTTTGTTTGCACAGTTGTTTCTTAGACTTTTTTTTAATATTTATTTTTTATTCATTTGGTTGTGCCAGATCTTAGCTGTGTCATGTAGTTTCCCAATCAGGGCTTGAACCCAAGTTCCCTGCACTGGGAACTCGGAGTCTTAGCCTCTGGATCATCAGGAAAGTCGCTCTCAGACTTTTAATTGCACATTTTAGATCAAAAGTTTTCTGTAAAGGGCCAGCGGTAAGTATTTTAGGCTCTGTGGGCTATACAGTGTCTTGCTATTGCTCAACTCCACCATTATGTTGTGAAAACAGCCATAATCCATACTCAAATGAATGGGCGTGACTGTGTTTCAATAAAATTTTATTTACAAAACCAGCAAAGGGGTGGCTTTGACCCATGAAACATAGATTACCAACCCCTTGTTTAAATGACACCTTGTTTCACGAAATCCACCTATTGAATCTCAGATCACTTTGCTCATATGAGTTTATAAAAGTGGTTAAAAAATCATACAAATTCACTGTAAATTATTTTCACACAAGCACTGCTTAGTATGAAAGGCTACATCCAACAAATTGCTTTTAAAACAATCACGGGAAGATAAAATAGGCAGGTTAGCCACAGAGATTCTCTTTATTTTCCTTTGGAAAAACTGTATGTGTCAGTCCATATAAAACTGTCAGTGTATAAATGAATATCCTTAGAATAGTCATTCTAGCATTATTTTTTTAATTGGGCGTGGCAGCAACATGTTGGCCTGATAAGTCACAGGCGAGGGGAATACGGGATGTTTTACCCACTTTCCGTCTCTGGCTGGTGGAGAGCTGTGAAAAGTTGTGCTTTCCATGGGTGCTTTGAAGGGAAACTGGCTAGGAGCAAGTTGGGCACACATGGCACTGCTTCCCTGTTGTACCTCTCTCCTGTTAAAAAGGATGGAGTTGGGAGTGGACCCGAGGTGAACCAGAGCACCCCTGGTCACCCCTGGATTCCAGAATATCACATCACAGGAAGTGCCTTCCTGGCCTGGGTTCCCAGGCCAGGTTGGGTGATGATGATTCTGTACACTTACCCATCCTGTTCCTCTTCTTGACAAGTGGCCCTGGTGAGAGTTTTCTTGCCTGTGCCATACTTGCCACTGTTGACAGAGTCCTGATACGGCCCTGGTGCTGGGAAGCCACTCTCATTGCTTCTTCAGCCCCAGCCCAGATGGCTGCTGCTTGCACATCAGTCATTTGTGCTGAATCACAAAGCCTCAAGCCTTCCTTGTCCCCAGCTCCGGCCTGGTGTCTGCATCTCTCTCTTTGTGATCAGTAGCTACCCTTTACCAAGGAATATGTCCTGTTGACTGCTGTCCCCATGGGCCATCCAGCCCAGTCTATACCCCAAAACAGCAGGAAGCCATGGGGTATCGTATGTGGGTGTTGGAGGACCATTTTCCTTGCAGATATTCTACAGGAACCAGCAGAAATCTCAGATATGGAGTTAAGCCTCTGTCAGGCCCAAAGCCAGCCACACCTTCCTGGGGACTCCAAGGTCTCCTCACCTCCGTAAGGACACGGAGCAGCATCAGCCCTGTGGCTCTCCTGGGCTGCCGCTTCTGTTTATTTCCCTTTGACCTGGAGGTCTGCCCCAGACAAGGGAATTTGCAGTTTAATTGCTTTGACCTTAACAAGTTTTTATTTGAAATGTAGGATCTGATTTTTTTAATTATCTGAGGATTCCGATTTCTTGCGAAGTGTTTGTTATCTACAACTGCAGGAGATCTGTTCCATGCCTCCTAATCTGCTCAGCCTTTAACTTTGACAGTCATCATCATTATTATTGTCATTAGCAATACCGAAGATGATGATAATGATGATCCAAGATTGAAGAGACAGTATATCCAGACCCATAAAACCATAAATTTACAGAACTGGTAAAAGATTGCTGCATAGAAAATTATTTACTGCTCAGTATGAGCTCACTGAAGCAGTTTTTTGTTTTCGGTTTTGTTCTTTTTTTTTTGAGTGACAAGCTTCTGAGAAGCATTTCAAATGTGTTTTATTGCTATTTTTAAAAGGACAATAATTAGTGTGTAACTCCCAGGTAAATTCCACAGGTGGCATCCCCAGGTGTCCTCCCTAGAAGGTCTTTGTGGTTTCTTTGGAAGTGATGAGCTGAGCCCCTTGGAACTATTTTCTGTAGAGACAGCTCTCTTCTTTCCTTTTGCAGAAGTGGGTTTAACCGGACGTGGGCCAAAGCTGGCATCATTATGTGCCTCCTTGCGTGGCAGGCAACCTGAATAAATATAGAAAGACACCTTTCTGGCAGAGCCCAGCTGCCCCCACAGGTGGGGTGCAGAGTACTCTGGCCATCTGTCCTCTGTTTCCACGATGGGAGCCAGCCTGCCTCTCTCTCAGTAGTCAGTACAGCCCCATCTGGACCACTGTCTCGATGTTCTGGCCCTTTCCTGAGTCATAGTGTTGCCAGCCCCTCTCTTCTTCCAGGCTCCTTCTCCATCCCTGCCTTGGAGCCATTCTCTCATTATCTGTATTGGTGGCTTTAAATCTGAGCACACGCTAAGGCTTCCACCCACAATGGCTGGTGGGCTCTGCCCAAGTCTTACCTGGGACGAACCTCCTCCCCCAACCACCCCCATCCCCTTTCTCATCAGACCTTTGACTTATTACAAGCCAGATGCTTTCTCCTTCTCATCTCTCTGTCTGGCACCCTCTTTCCCGCTTAAAGGGCTTTGACCTCCCCCTCCCCACGCCCCCCAATGCAAAATCTTCATTTAAGAGCGAAGAAAGAACTAAAAGGAACTCATGTGGAGAGTTTGAGGGTTGTGGTCAAGGCAGGAAGATGCTTGGGAAATGTAAATCAGATGCCGTCTGTGGAAGGCCAGACCTAGATTTATCGTACACAATTCAACAGCTTTATTTATTCTCTACTCTTTGGGGAATATGTCAATACCAAGATCCAAATATCTGGCTCCTGCTGCTTGGAAACCACAGCACACAAGCCTGCATGTGTTGACTTAGCAAAACTCCAGAGCTTTTCAGCATCCACTGTGATATGAAAAAATCCTCAGGAAAGAGACTGGAAATCTCTGCTTCATTCAGTGATAGAAACTTCTATCTGGTCTACATGGAATCATAGAATTTCAGTTCCACCTAGGATCTCAGGGCCCTGTAACTGTGACTGAAAAGTCTTACAGCGAGTCATAATGTTTCATCCTCAGGACAGTTCATCTGTCATCCAGTTCATGACCCACGCCAAGGTGAAGGTGGACCCTTCCCTGAGAGTGGTGGAGGTTGCCAGTGGGAACCCGGAGGAGATGACGGTGAGTACAACCCCCACCTCAACGGCCCCCCACCAACACACACAGCCCTTTTCCAAGGGTGAAGGGATCTGGGTGACTTGGGAGACTTGATGCTAGAATTTGAGGATAATGATGGCCTCTAAGCCGAGATGTCAGCTTTGTGGTAGACCCACGACCTTGCCTGCCTTGGCTTCCAGGCCCCCCAAGGGGAACTGTGGTCTGCTCTTGTTGTGATAGCCTTGTTCTCCAGGATGCTGTTATGTGAGAGCTCCTGGCCATGACTAGCCAAAAGAGAAATTGTCTGGAAGGACCCTTGACAGTGCTTGTTGCATTTCCATTCTAGAACCAAGACTATTTTTATCTTTCTCAGACCTTTCCCTGAAACCTCATCTGCCTTCCCAATCACTTTGCTCCATGGATAAACACTCAGTGTTTAAATACAAGTTGGTTGAGTAACCTTCTCTACCTGCCCCCCATATCCTCTATGAAGTGTATTTGGCAAGCAGCCTCAAGATGGGAGGTGTTGCAGCTGGGAGTTCAGATAGGGGAGGGAAAGGGGTGGTCTTGGAATTTTGCTGCCTTATTATTTTCAGGGTCAGGAGGGGAGGTGCATCCTTTGACACCCAGACTCAGGTCCTAGGTACATAGAAAGGGAAGACATCAAGCTCTGAACTGCTTTTGCCAATAAGCTATGCAATGATGCTAGCTTTTTGCATCTCCTTTCCTGGAATTTACTTCTTTCCAGGGAGACTTTACCCTCTCTTGAAAGAGTCAATACTGCTGTGACAATTTTACAGAAGTGAAAAATTCACAAACATTATTTGCTTGCAAAGAAAAACATGTTAATTTATTTTTCTAGTAACAAGGGAGACACCGCATGTCTAAATGTTAGGATGGGGATCAGAGCTAAGAGACTCTTTAACAATAAGACACTGGCTAGGAAGGGTACATATAGAAAATGAATCCCTAGGACCTCCATGAACCCTCAGTCCTGAGCAGAAGACAAGAGTGTCAGCTGGTACAGAAGGAATAAGAATCTGTGAGAATGTTAAAGCTACCCCAGAGTGTGGGTATTCCATGCCCAGTTCAGGGAAGAACTTTCGGAGGCAGACTTAAATTCCTTGGCTCACATCGAGAAATTGTCCACCTGGTCGTTAATAACAGAAAGTGAATGGGATGGAGTGGAATGATGCTGAAGTCCTTCACTCCCAGAGTCATTGTTTCTGGAGATCAAGTATCTGGAGTTGGCTTTTGTCTTTTCCTCTCTTCCATTTGGGCATTTAACTGCCAATCCAGGCCTTCATCTGGGGAGTGAACAAGAATGCAGAGTCACTGGTCATTGTCACAGCTCCAGTTAAAAAGCTTTATAGGATGAGATACATGGCCAGCAGGACAGGTTTGGAATGTTCTGGTAGACCACAGTGTTCCCTTAATTAGTGTTCTCTTAATTAGAGCTAACGGAAGTAATTAACAGATTTCCTACAGGTGGAATCCCTTGGGTAAATGAAAAAACTATCATGGGCGCATTGCCTTTGATTAAAACGTAGAGCTGTGGGATCCAGAAAGACATTGCCTGACATCCCATTGTTGGATTCTGAGTCACCTGTGTGCCCCCAAAATACCACCTCCATTAATTACTGTTCCATTTTGAGCACTGTGGTGGTATTTTCATTATCAAGAGTTCTTTGGAAGGAGCTCTCATTTTCAACTGATTTTTTTCTAGTACTCCCAAGAAAAAAGGAACACCCTTCAGAATGCCGCAGTGCCCCTATCTTTCTCCTTTCCATGAGTTTGCCTTTCAATCCATGAGCCAAGATGAAGTACTATAATCTGTTCTCAACTTTCCTGGCAGGAAAAAAAAAATCCTTTCTGAGTAGAAAGGTTTGCCTTTTTAGAACAAACATGTTCCTCCCTGCGTGATTCTTCTGAATGCCTGGCACTCTGTCAATCGTCCGTCGGAAGGGAAATTTCCATAGAGGCTAGCCACCAAACTTAAATCGGGCAAAATTTCACAAGATTGGAGATCAGGCACCACATTTGTATGGCCTTGGAATGAACAGGAAGTGTATTTGCAGCTGGTAGCGGGCAGGGTGTGGGTGAGAAAAGGAAAGCAATCTGTTTTTAAGCACATAAAGTGTGCATGGTGATAAATTCAACTGACAGGGAATATAGATAATTTTCTTGGGACTCATCGTGTCTTTTATTTTCATGCCGTGGTATGGGAAGTGCTTTCCAGAGTGTATGGGTGAATAGCTGGAAATACGTACTGATGTTTGAGGCATCTTCCTTTTTTATTAATAATACATTTGAGGTGCCCTTGCCAGGCGGAGTGTTAGCCATGTGTCCAAGACCAACCACACCAGCTTACCTGGCTTTGTACATACTCAAACCTGAGAATTCTGGATGAGGTCTGAGTGACCGTGTTCAGTGCTGACTGTGCCAATATAATACACTGAATTTCCTATTATGTCCAACCCAACCCTTTCTACTTTTCTGGGAGAGCTGCCAACAGCTGAGGCTAGAAACTCCCTGGGGGCAAACCAAGAATCTACAGCACACCAGCTCTGCCACCAAGAACTATCGCCCCAGACTCCCTTCTCTGGCCATATGAGAGGCTTGTGTGAGTTACAGAGCAAATCTGTTTTGTCAGTACTTTGAAATAGCAACATATGTGATGGACATGGAGATCCACAAATGGATAAATCAGCCATTGCCATGTGGAGTGGGCACCAGGCTGAGGTTCTGGGTGCCAGCAGGAGAAGCTGATCCTGTCTCCTCTTAGCAGAATCAGAATGGATTAGGATGATATCAGGGAGCTCTCAGAACTGCCGGCGAGGTTGGAGAGCCTGATGGGCATGTGAGAAACCTGCAGGGCCAGGACCACAGGCTGGGGCAGGCCCCAGGGAGAGCCTGGCATGCTGCCCTGGGCACTGCTTCCCTGGCTTCTCTCCGCCTCGTGCTCTAGAGTCATGTGGAGCCTCTCCCTAGCTGAGGTTAGGCCCCTGTTTCTGGGGAGCCAGGCACCCCAGGAAGAGCAGGTGGCTGGCATTTTTGGCTATTGTAGTTCAGCCTCCCCCTCATCCTGAGACTCACCCATAGGAGGATTCCCCAGCACTGGAAGGATGCTAAAAAGTGAGGAGCATCCGCTCCCATGTGCTTCTCTAACACTACAGGCAGCATGGGGCCATCTAATCCGTGGCTCATTGAGGGCTCCCTTCTGAGCTAGTCTCTGTTCAGTCATTTAGACCATTTTGTCAGCTCCATTGATAAGAGAATGTGCAAATTTTTGTCCATAGGTGGTTGAGGAGTGTTTGCGCTTTGGCCTTTGTTTTAAGAATTAACGTGCTTGAATGAGCTACTTCTGATTCGATAGGGCAAATTTCTGGGGCCTTCTCCTACTGCCACAGGAACCATATGTCCAAAGAGGTGGTCACCTCCCTCCCACACTCCTCTGACATCACCATCTCTCACCCCCAGGTGGGGAGACAGGTCATGATTTTTACAAGTCCCCAGAGACTCCACGGTGCCCTCCCTGGGTTAGAACCCCCAAATTTTTTCCTCGAGTGAACAAAGAGCCTCTGATGCTTAGGAGGAAGAGGCAGCTTGCCCTGGCTCTCACATTGCTGAGCCAAGGATAGGGTCCGGACCTCTTGACTCTCATCCAGGTGCTCCTTTCTCTGCTCCTGCAGCCACGCAGTCATACAGGAGGGCACTGCGCCGTCTTGGATAAAAGGTCCTTGACAAGTGCAAGTGTCCACCCTGGAAAGGACACTGACTGGTTTTAAAGTCTCTCTGTTAAAATTGCCAGGTTCCCTTGGGGCCCAGCCAGCCCCTCCTGACTGGACCCAGTTCTCCTACCCCCGTGGGGGCTTCCCTGTTCAGTCTGATTCAGACTCCAGAACGGAACCTCCTGGCTGCAGCCTTGCTTTTATTTCTTTTTTTTTTTTTTAATTTATTTTNCATTGGGGTGCACGTGTCTCTTTCAGATCTGGTTTCCTCGGTGTGTATGCCCAGGAGTGGGATTGCTGGGTCATATGGCAGTTCTATTTCAAGTTTTTTAAGGAATATCCTCACTGTTCTCCGTAGTTGCAACCTTGCTTTCATTTTTGAATAAACCTGCCTCTCAAGTACAAATTGATCAGGCCAGCAAGTTCCAGCTTCATTTGTTCTGAAGTTGGTCAAGTTCACTTCCCAGTCTTGACCCTTCTGGGAAGTCAGTCGTTCTAGTTTGGCCTTTTCTTTGTGAACAGGAAACACTGCATTTCCCACTTGGGAATTAGAAAAGCTTGCCCTCAAATCCCATCTCCCTCATGTCCCAGTGGTGTGACTACAGGTATCAGGTGAGTTCTGTGAGCCTCTCTTTTCTCGTCTATAACGTGGGAAAGCTAGTTTCTTCTCCCTGGAGATTTCCCCTCCACGCTGCTTCCTGCCACTACCCCCACCACCCCAAGATGCACACCAGCATATCTCAACCAGAGGGCATCATCTAAGGTGGTGGATGAGATACTCCAGAAGGTACCACCTGTAGTTCCTTTGTTGTTTACTGCATCTTGAACCAAGCTTACAGTTTTCTGTCACCAAATAGACTATGACTTGTACTTTACTGTTTACATGCCAAATTACAGTTAAAATTACATTATATCCAGCAAGAGAGTTCTCCTTCTTGTTACATCAAGAGGTAGGAGGAAGAAGAGAGACACCTCCATTCTCTGTCATCATCAAATGATGGTAGGCAGTCCTCTCCCTTCACCACCACCCCCATGTGAGAATTAAGCTCTAATCATAACAAATTTAGAAAAACCCCAGTATAGTTTGCTGTTTGTCACTATTTAAAGTTTCACTTGATGAATACTCTATTGGGGGCTTGCTATGGGCCAGGCGATGTACAAGGCACTGGGGATGCAATGGGGAACCAAATAGCCATGCTCCAGGCCCTCCCAGAGCTAACGAGGGGGTGACAGATGGTAAAAGAGAAGCAAACAGCTTTTTTTTTTTTTCAAACTGAGATGAGTTCCATGGGA